TTTTCGAACTCAGGGGGCACTGATTTGACCCGATAGCAATAATTTCCTTACCAATAGGTAGGAAAGTAAAAATAATAATCAATAATTTATGAAAACAAAGTTTAGCCGTTCAAGACGTACATTCAAATGTTTTTAATAAAGACAAACTCTACTAGCATTTGAAGCAAATTTTGTTTGGTTTACGATGAAGTAATTTTTAATAGCCTCAATTAAATATTTTATTAGTTATTGCATCTTATTTAACAAAAAATGTGGCTTTCTTTAAAAAAAAAACACAAATCTTGAAATTCCTTCGTTTCTGCAAAAAATCACACCATTCTTTAGAAGAATCAACTTTATTCTGGGACAAAGTCCCTTGAGAATAACAATATTGTACATAAAATTAACATTACATCTGGCCAAAATGCATATTACAATAAAAAACAAACCGAAAAAAAAAAAAAAAATAAGGGATAAAGGAAGTATTTACATAACTGTACAGATATAGTAAGACATAATATGACCAATAAAGTCCTAATACTGCAAAATAGTTGCTATAAACTATTGAATTATAAATGAGTGACAAATAACTTTTGTTGTCATGCCATTGTATTAATGAAAAAAATAAATCAAAGAGTGGATAAATATTTACTTTAAATGATTTACATGTGTATCTTAGTACGTTCGAAGAATACAATAATAGTATTGTAAACATTATACAAGTTCTATCTAATCTAAATCCTATGATGTTGATTGATTGGAGAAAAGAAAAGATAATATACATATACACTATTTATACATGACTCTTTTGTAGAACTTAATTATGGGACACCCCGTATTCGATCCTGAACCAATCAAAACATACCGAATTATATTTACTCAATGTATATGTACATTAAAAGGAAAGGGTGTTACTTATTCATTTTATATTCATACGTATTGTGAAATTTTAAAAATTCCTCTTTGGGAGAAAACACCGCACAGCTTATGCATGTGTGATGAGAGAAGTCCTGCTTGAGACAACTGGCCAAAAGCCCCTTACTCCACTAACTCAGGATCGCAATCATAATAAATCTGGGGAAGAGACGGGTTTTTTAGGCCATCCCCTTGGCAGTAGGCTCAGGGTGATGAAGCTGTGAGGACCCCGAACTGTCGAGGTAACTGCACTTAAGAATGCCGAGCTTCTCTGGAGGCAGCTCCTGGAATGTTCTTGGATAAAATAAGGGCTCTATTCAACTTGAAGCTATCCTTTCTTTAATTGAATTTAAAAGTCGCTTGAAAAAAAAATCAATGTAAAGAATAAATTATCTTATTTTTCTTTTTTTAGGAAGCCTACGTTTATAAATTTTTTCATAGGTGAGGCAATAATACTTCCAATTTCCTTCAAATCCCTTTTTTTTTTTTTACCTTATTTATTGAAAAATATTACAATCTGTCTCTAGGACATTTATAAGTTCAAAGATCACATTCACACTCTATGTCCAATAAATAAAATAAAGCGAACCCTTTTAATCTCATTTATTATCTCTAACAGTTAAGATTAATGAACAGTTGCGTGAGATTTGTAATTGGTGCCCCGAGATACTACCATGTCTCTCACCACTACACTGAGTTATAGTGGCTCTTCCCCTCAATTCGAAGACAATATTTCCTAGGTACATTCCTCTATCATACATCAACAATCATCGTCCTCCCTACGGCTACAACCTTCTCCAATTCAAGTCCTCAGTCCACTCCCTCTCCACAAGATCTCGACCTTCCGACCTTTACATTCCTTCTCACAAATCTGCCTCGTTCCGAAACTCCTTTATTGCTCGCTCTGTTAATTTTCGGAATCCCCTTCCTATTAAAATTCGACATTCTTCATCCCTATCTACATTCAAAACCCTCCTATTCCAATTTCTGTCCCCAAAACAGTCAGATACCAGCTAACCTTTTATGTAAAATTACATATCATTTATAATAATATATTCACATATAACTCATAACTTAAATATTTATTATAGATTCGACTTTCTTTTTTATTCAACAGAAACACAGATTTTACTGTTAAGAAGAATTTACATTTATTTTTTTATTTTTTCTAAAAGGGTTTATTTATATTTTACCATTGTACATAGTTTTAAGTATCTTGGTATGGTTTCAAGAGTTTTGTATATAGATTTTTTTATTTTATTTTGTATATAGTATGTATAACTAAAATTTTTTTTTACTGATTTATCTTTATCTTTAATTTTTATATTTGTGTTTATTCGGCCAGATATGACATTTTAATTTCTGTACTTTTTTGTTATTCTGAAGGGACTTCGTCCCAGAATAAAATTATTTTCTATTCTATTCTATTCTAACGTTTCGGTACAATTTTCCCATAATCAGAAACAATAGGAAACTGCTGGAAGCCATACATATAACAAATAACAATAATAGAACAATAAACTATAAAACAGATAAAAAACACACTATTCGGACATAATATCCAATATTGAAATTAAAAAAACAATAGGCAAAAAAAAAAACACACACAACAAACAGCCATAATAAGAAATTGGAGGGCAGGTACAGTAATGAAACTGAAGATAGCCATATGTTGGTCAGTATAACAATGAATAAGAAAAGATGCGTAACACCAAAAAAATATAAAATGAATGTGACAAATATTTGAATTTTTGACAAATGGTGCCACATCAAAAACGCAAGGTAAATAATTGTACAATAGATGAAGTAGATTGGTACTGTAAAAATAGTTTATTTAAAATGTGCATAGTTTCAGTGGAGATAAGGATTGCTCTGATGATGGGAAAATTGTCTCGAAACATTAGAGATAATAAATGTGATTAAAGAGATTTGAAAGAAATTGGAAGTATTATTGTCTTAACTATAAAAAAAAAACGAATAAATTATGTGCCAATATAAGAATGTATCATTTTCATGTTTGCGTATTTGCCTGTTCAATTGATATAAGTTTAAATTTTAGCGTAGAAGGTTTTCTTTTATTTTGACTTTCCTATCTCTACTAGGCAGTAAGGTAGAACGAGTAGACAGTTTTTTTTTTGTTTTTTTTAATTTTTTGTAGGTTTTGACTATCGCTGCCTGTGAAACAAATGTGATACTCCTTGTGCAATAAGCAAAAAAACATGTTTTTTCATAGAAGGAATGTTTTTTTGTAGCGCAAAAAAAGGCTATAACGATATTGATGAAAGTTTTGAACTTTGAACATTTCATTGAATATTTTTTCTTTTTAATGCGCACCTCTGGGCATTATTCAAAAACCATCCAGACCTATGGAAGCGTGGATCCCAAAATATGCTTTACTCTGCAGATCGTAAAGTTTACTGACAGAGACACTGCGAGGCATAAAACTTCTGTGATAAACCTTTTAACAAGTTTGCTCGGAGCATGGAGTGGGCCTTCCTCAAATACTCCTATCCGATTTTACTGATATTGTCTTTCTGAAAACAGGGAAGGACTTTATGAATATTGTTTTACCATATTTAGTAACTTTATGAAATTAATAAAACTCTATTGAGTACTCCTACTGGAATATATACATAGAGAGACAGAGAATATTAACCGAATTGATTCTTCAGTGTCATAAAATTATATATTTCTATTATGTTTAATTTTAGTGTATCAGTTTCAGTGCTAAACAAATCATTGATTGGTAATGAAATTAATAAAATGAAAATGAGAGTAAAATTAATGAAAAAAAATGGCAAATAATGATTTTCATTATTATTTGTTTTGTTTTTTGTATTAATATAAGGCAGGTAATTATTATATTTTCGAAAAATTGAAACTTTTGTATCTGTATTAATGAACTAAGTACTGGATTAAATTCTGTAATAATTAACCTAAAAAAGTGTACCGGAGTGACCACACACATGTTCAGGTCTACATGCCTGTGCAGGTGAAAAATACTAAATTTCGATTCTTTCCCGGTCGCCTGCACAGATTGGCTAGGCCTGTGCAGTTTGGCCTGAAGCGGCAATCACACACGCTCCGGTTTACCTGTATAAGTAAATCTTAGATTATATTAGATCTTAAATATTTATCATTAACCTTTTTTCTAATTAATAGTATATCACTTGCTAGTAATAACAGATTAACAGAAACAAAATTTAATATGAGTTTTTTTTTTTAAATTACAACCGTATTAAGTCCACCTTACACGGTCAATATCGTTATTGAATCAATATCGAAAAATTGACCATCTGAGGAATATATTGTAACAATTATATTGACATTTGTACTGTGCATACAACGTTCAAGAATATTACTTCAATATTATTGATTCAATAATATTGACCGTGTAAGGCGTGCTTTAAATAAATAAAACTTGTAAATATACTCAATATGGGTAAGATTTTAATTTTTAATATTTTTCAGTAATGTTGTACCAATATATTCTTTTCGTACTTATTTCTACTTTTTTTAGTTACGTATGTATATGAAAATTAACAAGGTTTCATTAGGCGCTTTGTTTGTCAAAATCGGTCCACCCGTTCAAGATATATTCGTGGCACAGATACACGCATTATACAATCAAACATATAGAAACAAAAAAAATTTCTGAAAATGTGTTTTTGGACTTAAGTGTCTGTAAATCTTTAAGATCTGTTGGAAAGAGCACATTGAAATTTGACACGATTATAATATTGTGTATTGTATTAGTATTTATATTAGATTATAATATATTTTAATTTTACGACAATACTTTTCTAACCTAGTAGCGTTAGCAAAGTGAAAACTGCCATTAATAAAAATATGCCCAAGTTAGTAGCTTGACTTTGACCAAACATGACCTAAAATATGCGAATGTACTCTTAACAGGTTATTATAAGCTCTATAATATTAGCTTTTATAGTAGTTAAGAATAATTTAACTTCATATCATCTCTCAACTTTATAATCTTCTTAGCACTATGTCACACTTATTAACAATAAATAATGTGTGCATTTAATCTTATTAATCTAAACTACAACTTATTCCAAGACGATGCCAAAATCTGTACAAGTTATAATGTTGAAATGAACAGATGTCTAGAGTTCTATCATGTGTATTTTATTAAGAAATAAATCAAATTATCTAGTAAACAATGTGTATTTAAATCAAATAACAAGGAAGGGACTTATTTTGAATAAAATGCTGAGACATCGATGAGATTATAGCGCATTCCATCACTTTCCAGCACGGTATGTTCGCTAGTTGTTTTCCTATCACACATTTCTAGTTTCCTTGAGAAATACATTCATTTTATTTTAAGACCAGTTCCAATAACTCATTATGGTATCATTATTTTCTCATTATGCAGATAATGGAAAAGTAATTCTTTCACAACTTGAATAAGTTATGGAAATGCCACAAATCTAGCTAGGCGGTAAATAATGATATTACAATCTGTACAAAGACAGGTTTTTCCTAGAATGGCTATTGCATCTTTGACCAGTTCTTTATGAGTCATTAATTTAATTTAACTATACTGTTTTTGTAGAACTGGTCAAATATGATAATGCAAGATAGCAATAACATAATAATTATGTTACATAATGTCGGTTCATCATGTCTTATTACTGTAATAAATATTTGCCATGAGTGTTACGTTGGTTTGATTGGAATTAATGGTAATTATAATTCTTTTATCCTGGCCAAGATTCACCATTTTTTTTCACGTATTTTTCAACGAACAGAAAATATATGTTTTGTCAAGCGAAATTTTAGAGAGGCCATAGAGGTCTAGCGCATTACAGTGTTCACCGCTTTGTCATTCTCGAATCTATCGCGGCCGGTTCAAATCCGGTCTGGAGGAGTTGAAATTTGATTCGTGGTGGACCCTCGGAATGAATCTCGACTTTACCGTTTTAGTTTGAATTATTTTGATTATACCTCAATAGGTCTGGTTGAAAAAAAAAAACAACAGACTATTACGGTAAATATTTTGTATTTATTGTCATGAGTGTTACTCTAATAATTTACTATAAATTTAATTCTTTGAGCATTCATTCAATTCAGTTCAGTTTTCCATTGCAAGGTATCCTTCTTGAGCTTACTATTGAGTATAACATCAAAATACAATGTATGATTGTTAACTATTTCTAAAAAAAAATGCAATCTAATTCGCCATAGTGCGAGTTTTGATGAGTGTTACCATAGAAAAGTAATAATCATGAGTCATATGATTCAATGGTGCTCATGTTCATTTTAGCAGTAACTTCCTTTCACATATTTTCAATAGGTGAGGGCAATGAAGCCTAAAAAGACAGAAAGGAAGAAAATGTAAAATTAATAAATCATAATTTTAGTGCTACTCAGCAATAAGTGTTTAGTGTTTCCCATCGATTAACACTATGTTAATTATTGTTCCTCCATAGATAAAAACAAGACTTTAGCCAAGTTTCAATGAGATCGGTACATTCGTTTTGAGGCTACAATCTATAACAACACAGATTTTTTCGGCCGCTATCTTGAAAGGAAAGGGCGGATAGTAATGTCGATGTAGAAACCTCAAATTTTAAGGAGGGTTACGTATTTGAATTTTTTATACGAATGCAATGGTTCATTGATAAATATTACTTTAACACAGAAAATGGAACGGAAATGTTGTAATTCAATGTTACCACAATGCGTCTTTGATCTCTCCGAGGCGTCTGAAAACAAAATGGTCTCATGATCCACTAATGTAAAACTTACAATACATTACTACTTATGGATAGTATTTTTTCAAATCTGTTCATGTCATTATATTTCTCCGTTTTCTTTCACTGGATATATTTTTATTTTAATAAAGTTCAAAATTTCAATTCAATAATTTTTCCTCAATTTTTAAAATTTAAAGAAAACTTTTTCCGCCTATATTACCTACTTATACAACATGACTAAATCAGCTTGTTTACTTCTTAATTTATTCTTCTTCTTTTTTAACTCAGTGGTTCTCTTGAATAATACTAACATAATTACTCATAGATAATTTTATGATCAATCTTTATTTTTACACCAAATATATAATTATTTATACATATAGATACAAATAAAAAACACTTTTTAGTTTTATCCTTTATATTTATCTAATTGTTTATTTCATAAGTGGGGAGGCCATTATATTTCGTTGCTCTTCTTGTGTTTTACCTCCGACTGGGGGCCATTTATCACGTTATTTTCTCTTTTCAGAAATGTGATACTCCATCACTGTCATTCCCGCTGCCAATTGAATGCTTTCCATCGAAAAGAGAATGCCACTATTTTCTCGACCAAACAAAGAAAAATGTGAACAATATGTCCTTACCTAACAGGTTTGCATCTTCTTCCTATTATGTAGTTGGACTTAAAATTATGATAGATATAATATAGTATAAATTTTTTTGGCTTTTTCACATATCACATGTAAATGATACATCAAGCAAATGTAGTCATTGATAAATTAAAGAACGTTAAATTGTGCGTCGAACGAGTACATGCCACATGTAAACTTTATAATTTCGTAACGTGGTATGATATAAAACGACTGTCAACCAACTCTGATTTTTTTCACATTTGTCAAAAACTGAGACAAATTACTATAAATGTCCCTAAAACTTCATGAATGAAATGAGTTCATTAAGAGGAAAAACTCATAGAATCAAAGTTATAAAGCATCAAATTTTGTGTCCAGTGAGTACCAACTAATTTAATGTAGATGATTTACTCCGAACAAAACCGGTAATCTCCCGATGGTTAGAAATTGGCAATGAAGGTTAACGTGATTTTCAATATTTAAACAGTATGGGTGTCTGAGTTATTCTACTGAGTTATTTTTGTTTAGTGTCTGTTACATGCAGTATAAGCCTCCTTTGGATCTCTTAGCAGCGAAGGATTTTGATAAACGATGTGTCGAAAGATACTCAATTTTATGAAGGAATCTTGTAATGTAAATCCTAATTCGAGATATACAATCGCTCTAATATCAAAATTCAGTACTCAGTAAAAGTAAAATTTGATGCTCTACAACTTTGATTCCGAGGTTATTTCCTCTTAGGGAACTTATTTCCAAGTTACAGAGTCATTTATAGTAATTTGTCTCAGTTTTTGACAAATTTGGAAAAAAACAGCGTTGGTTGACCGTCGGTTTTTATCATATCACGTTACCAAATTATAAAGTTTATGTACTCGTTCGACGTACAATTTAACGTTCTTTAATATATCAACGATTACATTTGATTTAATGCATCATTTATAAGTTATAGGTGAAAAAGCAAAAATATCAAAAAATCTGCATTTTTTGACTGTAAAAAGTTTTCCTATGGTGGCTTGCGTTAGCAAGTTTGTTTTATACATGTCTAAACCCATACATAAAAGTAAAAAAATAAAAGCTTTTCTCATATGTTTCGCAATTTTATATCCTCAAATTACTGGCTCAAATTTTTCTTCAAATCAGAACATACACTTTCGTAGTTTACAATCAAACCTTCACCTGCGATGAGATAGATTTTTGGGCCTTGGCTCCAGTGCTATAAGTACATTTACTGGCACTGTATAAGTACACTTACATATAAACTATAAGTACACTTACAGGGCTATTGGTACATTTACCTTAGTGTGTAATATCATCTATGATCGCATCATTCAATTTAATATATATATATATATATATATATATATATATATATATATATATATATATATATATATATATATATATATATGTGTGTGTGTGTACCAGAGTATAAACTGAGAATCTGCGTATATTTGTTAAAAAGTGTGATATAAAAATGAAGTTGTATTTACTTATCTAGTTTAATCCACAAAACGAAGGACCATTATTTGCTATATTGAACCAACGATATGGTTAGAGTGGCTTCCTTTTTAAAATTAATTTTACGATTCTTACTTCCACTTATCCCTAAAACGGGAAAGTATAAAGATAGCAGATAATTTCGAATTCGAGTTGTCAACGAAAATACATTTTTACGAATTATTTATATTAATTAATATAATTATTGTTGACTGCCTCTTTTAGATTTTTCAATGTATCTCTCCTATTACTTTACGGAGAAGATGGTATACCCTTACTACTGCTCTAAGAGGTGTTTTGTTTGTTTTTTCATTTCCAAGAATACACCCATTCAGACTATGATGTGACCTGCAGCTATATGTAGCTGGATCGAATTTGGAGATTGGAATTGAGTAACGAAGAGAGATCGCATTACGAACTCCACAATAAGAAAACATCTGAGTGTAAGACCAGCTGGTAGAGGGAAATCGTGTGAAGTGGTTTCATCATTTCTCACAAATTATAAAAATCCGAGTGGTCAGATTGTCCATAGAAACTTAGGAGAATGATGTCAAGAAGGTCTTTAAAAAAAGAAAAAGAAAAAGAAAATGAGGAGGAAGCTGCAGTTAATTTAGGATCGGGATTTGTAAATCATGCTCTAGATAACAAAGCTCAGGGGTAGAAGATTATATGTTTAGGAAGAAGAATGTTCAAAAGTAAAACATTAAATAATTCGTTAGTTCAGTTTGTTTTAAAAATCTATTGAATTTCCTCGGCTAAGCGTCACTTTAACTGTTGAAGTATATACATTATCTCTGTTTCCTAGCTACTTACGCTTTTTGTTTTCCTTTTTTTGTATAATCTTTCTTCCATTTACTAATCTCAATAAATATTTAGGTCCATTTTTTAATTACGTTTTTTTTTTAAACAATGTGGAAATGAAATTTTTCTAGTTTTTAAAATGTTTCAAATTTTCACGTAAACCTTGTTACGGTTCGTATCCGAATGTAACTCTTTTAAACATTCAAACTATGCAGTTATCCGGAATCCTATTTGTTATATTGAAAGAATGAAGTTGACTGAGATTGAGACGGAAAGGGCTTTGAGGAGCGGCTTGAACTAAGCCGAAGCCATGGCGACCGCTGGAATCGCTCAAAGGCTCCTTGATTAATCCTATTGTTGGATTAAACCTCGGCGGCATTATCTGCTATATCCTCATCCCCCCGATGTTTGTCAGTATAGCTTCTTGTCCTCTGTCCTGTTCCACCATCCTGACTGTAATTACATCCGATTCACATCTAAGCACCTGCCTCCTTGGTACAATAGCGCAGGACAAGAAAAGTTTTTAACCCAAATGAAGTTATTTTCCTATAAATCCTATAATGAAATTTTTGTCAATTAAGACCTGGCTATGAAAAGGTGCACAGAAGAGGGTTTTCTGTGAGAGGGGTATATTTTGATGTGTTTTGAATTTTTGAGGGGGGAATTTTCGGAATGAAAAGGAGATTAAAAAACAAATCGTAGCAAGTGTAATTGCGGATGATCAACGATTTTTCTAATTCTGCTTTCCCTTGCTTTGTTTTTATGAAAAGGTGAGAAATACGATATCGTGGAAGGAGGATGGAGTATATCCTCGCGCCACCGACTTCTGTGACTATGTGTCTTTTAATCACTTGAAATATCGGCCTGATAATGTGCTTTCATAGTTAGCCATGAATGATTCAACGCGAGATGTCAAAGTATAAATTAACGATCAGCTGGTTGTTTAGTTCAATATTATACAAAATAAATATATGATGATGATGACCATCATCCAACGATATAGCTCCTAAATAGAGTTCACACCCAGGTCCTTTTTTAGCCACGCCTTGTGCTGCTGTAACAATAGACAGAAACTACATCTGTAACATACAGACAAATTAAAAAAACAAAAGAACAACAAGAACTGGTCAGAAAATACAAACAACTGTCACACATGTTGAACTACAGATCTGCACATATCTAACAAAAAATGCGACTAATCTCCTCGAATATATTAAAATGCATTTGACATACGGAATCGAACTTTGAGGTTCCGTAAAACACGTCAACATCGTGATCGCAAAAATTCATACCGCAGAATGAAAAGTTCCTCGCAAATTTGTAAATGCATATTTTTTATTTTATTTATTTTTTTATACCATACACAATGATATTGGCATTTCGTCGGTAAACCCTTCAACCCAAATACACTCATCCTGTCTCTTTCTTCGTCACCTTGAGCGAAGACTAAAAAGCCAGTATTCCAGACACCTGCTTCACGCAATATAAAGAACATCTTGTGTTTTCAGATGACGTTTCTTTCTATTTGTGCATCATTATGCCCTGGGAAGACTTTCGAAGATCAATAACGTTGTAAGAGCGAGTTTACTTTAAGTACCAAATCGAAGCCGCTACGAAAATGTGATCAGATATCCCCTAGTCCAATGTGATGACATAGGTGCTGAATAATGAGAAGACCATAAAAATGAAGTTGCTGAGTGTGATTTGCGACATCGGATTCTTTTCCGTTATTTGGGTGCAAGCAATCCGTTTGCGAATTTTAGTCAACAAAGCACATACGTAGATACACATTCATTAGTATAATTAACTCACACACACAAAAACCTTCAGCCACTCATTACGAGGTTTTAAGCATTAATTATTGCTAATTTTTTAAATGGATTATTTGTTGTAATCCTTCACATAAATTCGTCTAGTTATTGTTCAATATGCTGCCACGCTGTTCCTCGATGTTTTCGTTTCTGAATTTGGCGCTTCCTCGATGATGATCGATTTTTTAGGTATGTATCCCAGTTTCTGAATAAAAAAAAAATGTACTTGTGATGAACTTTAAATTGTTAAAAACAATGTTTCAAGTTTTTTTTACTCACAAATGTTTTTCTAAGTGAGCTTCAATTGTAAATTAATCTCAAAAATGGCAAAAAATTCGAACGCATTGATTGACACTATATTTCTCCAGGAATGCTCTTTTTGTTGTGGCAGGTAAAAGCTTCACACCCCCATAGAATGTCATATCCAACATACATGTAACTTCATTTCTTGATTCCTAGAAACAAGTCTTTTTAGCTGACAAAATACTGTTTCCTCGGAAAAAAATATACTGCTTCTTCTTCCGTTACAGGTATTAGACAGAACGATGAGCCGTCATATGTTGGCTAAAAATCGCCAACAAATCCCTTGCATCCAGCAGAAGTATCCAATCAACATTTCTAAATTGGATCTGATTGGGCGGATGGTGTGTATGTATTTCTGTTATCCATGTTATAATGACATGGATTTTTATCCATGGATACTAATTTAAGCACATACAATTTTAAAAAAAAAACTGTATAACCACAACCCACGAATGGTTTTTGGTTCAGTACTTTGTGAGGAAATATTATTTCAAGACCAAGAGTTGTGCAGGGAGGTGATCGGGCCAGGATCACGCTCAACCTGCATGTTTTCCTAATTATTTAATAATGGAGTACCCACTTTATAGTGGGTAGGTGTGCTCCAGGA